ATTCAGCAGGTCCCAGAAAAAACAGGCAGTGAATGGAATAGACTCCTGTAGAGTTACCACATAGAATTGAACAGGCCTATGCAATATTAAATAAAACGTGAACATACAAAGTGTTTGGAGGGTCAGAGATGATTATCCTGCTGCACCTGCACAAATATTGGGTGATTATGCTAATAATATCTAAAAGCTCCTAATTTGGATGGGAAGGTGTGATGGGTTGGACCCCCCCCCTTCGGAGGTGCCGCCTGATGTATTGGGATCTCACCGAGCCCACCTGTTCCACCAGCCTGGGCTCCCACACGCTGTCTTGCTGCGCACACGCGCACACACACATGGAATCACCCAGCTGTGGAATCACACAGAGTCTGCAATCAGCTCTGTGTGGGAAGACTCAGCTCGGGGAATTACCCAGTGCTCTGGTGCATGTACCCTCTGGAGTGTAAACCCAAAGTTGCATTGTCTTGTGATGTAGAGAGATCTATACAGTGTAAACCCATGAAATTCGCTGCCTCCTTCAGTGTGGAGGAACATATGCACAGCTCCCCCGCCCCAGTTATGAATTGCACAAACTGGGTTTTAGAATAAACAAAATAAGTTTATTAACTACAAAAGGTAGTTTTTAAGTGATTATAAGGGACAACAAACAGAACAAAGCAGACCAATGAGCATATAAAACAAACATGCAAACTAGGCTTAATACATTAAAGAAATTGGCTACAAACAGTAATTTCTCACCCTAAAAGTTGTTTTATGCAGGTTGCAGAGTTTCTTGAAGGTAACTGCACTGCTTGCAGCTTAAATCTGCAGTTATACCCTTCACAGGCTGACCTTTCTTGCCTGGGCTCAGCCCGTCCCCGTCCCCTACATCCTCCCCGCTTAGTTCCTTTGTTTCTTCAGGTGTTTTCAGCAGTCTTCCTTCTTGGGCAGGGAGGCAGTGGAGCCAAGATTAACTCACTCCCCACCTTAAATAGGATTTACATATGGCGGGAATCCTTTGTTTCCTATTTTGACCCCCACCCCCTTCCAATGGAAAAATACCAAAAGTCAAAAATGATGTCCAGTACCAGGTGATATGATCACCTGACCCTGCAGTGTTAAAGCAGCATCCCAGGAAACTTCTCAGGAAGGAGGGAGATTAGCATCTTCAAAGTTCTATTGTCCTTCCTAATGGCCCATCCAGGCTGTTTGCATACTGTCCAGTGGGCATTCCCCACGTAAAAACATAGATGTAATTATTACATAGTCAATATTTCTGACTTCAAATACAGAAATGATACATGCATACAAATTGGATAATCACATTCAGTAAAACATAACCTTTCCAATGATATCTCACATGACCCATCTTCCATAAAACATATCTTAGTTATGCCATATTCATATTGTAAGCATATCTCTTATGAAGAATATGGGGCGTAGGGTCACAGGAAGCTAAGAAAAGTCACACCTTTCTATTCAAAGGGTCAACCAAGCACTGTTTGGGAATTCTGAGATACCAAGACAACTCCTTATTTCAGAGGAGCAGAAAGGCATGGCTAGAACTCACTAGTGCTTATTCAGGTTATTAAAGATAGCCTGTAGATAATGGATGAGCTGGAGAGAAAAGCAAGAATCCAGAAACTCAGGCTGGTGAGTATCTAGAAAAAATCAAGCCTGTGGACTCTAAGCAGTTTTCCCATGCACTGGCTTTATTAAACTCCATGAGTACAGCAGCTGCACAGAGTCTGATGTATATAGTTTCTGAAATAGGGCTGCCTGTTGCTAAAGCAACTTCAGCAAAAAAAAGTTTTCCATCACTTCAGATAGTGTACTTACGTCGAAGGGCTTACTAAAGCAGGCTTGAAGTTGGGCTATTTCTTTCTATAAGTTTTATGAATAAGGATTTTTGTCCTGACTCTTTATGTTCACTGCATACACACAAAGAAGTTAGATTAAAAACAAATATTCTTGCTGGAAGGTTGTAGCATAACACTACGTTATTTCTTAGACTTCGGAGCAATGACACACAAGAACCCCAAATCAGCAAGAGAGCAAACAGGTTGCTCCCTTTGGCGGTGAGACACTACTTAACCCAAACTTGCTTGAAGCAGTCTCTTTCCATACTCGCTCTGATAAATGCTTTCCTACAGAGCCCAGCCTGCAAGTGGGACCAAGAAACCCTTCTCTTGTAGTTCCCATGCAGTCCTCAATATTGACTATTCTCCTTTTCTGCTGGACAGGAGAAGAAAAAATAAAGCTTTCATTAGCTGAAAGAATAGGGTTTTATGTATGTTCTGCTGTACTTTGTAAGACTCAAGATTAGAGCTGGGCGAAATTTTTCATGTGAAACCTTTTTTTCACCAAAATATGCAGATTCACGTCAACTGAAACAATTTATGAATTTGGGTCCATTTTGGCAACTTATTTTATTCAAAATAGAAAAAAAATGGGAAATGTTGAAATATTTGTCATTTGCCATTTCAGCAACTAAACATGTTGACTTTTTATTACGAATTAACTTCCAATTTTATTTAAAAAAACAATTTTAAAATGTTTTAAAAGCCTTGACATTGAAACTAAATGTTTTGTTTCAAGTCAACCAAAATGTTTTGATTGACATGAAATGAAACATATTTTTTGATGTTTCAGTTTGCTGAAAACTTCAAAACATTTTTGTTTTGGGTTGACCTGAAACAATTTTTTTTGTTTGGGCTTTTTTTTTTTTCCTTTTCACCTGAACAGAATATTTGGTTATTTGGACAATCCTACTTGAGATATTCTTCAGATGTCAGGCTCGGACCTGCATGCCACATTCTATAAGTGAACTTTGTTTAGAGTTGTAAGAAATAATTACAACTCTAAACAAATCAGTAAATCTATTTATAATGCAAAAACCCCGGTTACAATTCTTAGAGTGAAAGTATATAGCAAGTGGAAGACACTGTAATGACAGTGCACTTCGCAAATAATAATTGCATACATGGAGCAAATACATACTGAGAAACTTGGCAACACTGTACAACCATTTAAAGTGATATTGAAGATACCAGAAAACTAAAATATAAAAACCAACACAAAAGCCAAATAAGGTGACCCATAAAAATCTCCATCCACCTTCTTAATGACCAGTGCTAGCAGTAATTGAAATGGAAAGCATCTGCACCTGGAGTGTAGGTAGTGTTTGCCAGGGACTACTGTGCTGTAATTCCTTTGCCGTTGCTGGAGTGCTTTCTGTGTCTGACTCTGTCACTTTTGCAAACTTTAATACCATGTGGCATTCAAGGGACACGGTATGTGAAGGATGGGATTCTTGGAAGAGATGTGCCCCTGAATTATGCTGCAAGCAGTTTGGCAAGCATCGGCTGCTCTTTTAATTTATTTTTAAATTTAAAAAATTTCCTCATCAAATAGGGCTTCAATAGTAAATGCTAGTTTTTAGCAGTGAAGAGTTTAATTTAAATGCATTTCATTCTAGAAGGGTTTCCAAAGGCTTGACTAGCAATGGACCCAGTATGTACTAGTCATCATTGGTATGGATGCCTTTCATCCCCTAAAGCTACCTTTTACAGCAGGACATAATTCGAGTTCATAATCATGCCTTTGTTAACAATTTAAACATATTCTTATTCAGAAAAAGTCCTTTCACCATCAAGAAAAGGAATATAGCTTTAAAAGTAGGAATAATATTTAGCCAGTTAAGGGAATTCACTCTTACTTACTTTACTGTGTCTCTCTTCCTTTCTTAGGCCTTGTCTACATCGGGAAATTGACTGGCATAGCGATGGTGGAATAAGCTATTCCTTTATAACTATCTGGCAATAGCTCCCCATGTGGACACTTTATTCTGGAATAAAAGTGATTTTTATATTTATTACAGAAAATTCAGAGATGAGAAATTCTGGTCTAGATCAGACTTTCCTCAAAGCTGACAGGGTTTCAGATCTGGAATTCTGGTTCAGGCTTATTTGTCTCTTGAACACACACCCATTGTCCATATTAATCCTATTAGGAAAGGAATTAATCATTGATAGGGTCCTACCAAATTCACAGTCCATTTTGGTCCATTTCATGGTCATAGGATTTTTAAAATAGTAAATTTCATGATTTCAGCCATTTAAATCTGAAATGTCACGGTGATGTAATTGTAGAGGTCCTGACCCAAAAAGGAGTTGGGGGGGGAGGGTTGCAAGATTATTGTAGGGCGGGGGTTGCTGTGCTGCTACCCTTATTTATGTGCTGCTGCTGATGGCAGTGCTGCCTTCAGAGCTGGGCAGCTGGAGGGCGGTGGCTGCTGGCCGGGCGCCCAACTCTGAAGGCAAAGCCATCCCCAGCAGCAGCGCAGAAGTGAGGATGGCATGGCATGGTACTGCCCCCCTTACTGCTGCGCTGCTGTCTGCAGAGCTGGGCCCTCAGTCAGTAGCGGCCACTATCAGCCACACCCAGCTCTGAAGGCAGCAGCGCAGAAGTAAGGGGGGCATTCCGTCGCCCATTTCCAGCCTCTGGCAAACAGAGGCTGAGGACACCATCCCTGTCCATCCTGACTAACAGCCATTGATGGACCTATCCTCCATGAACTTATCCAGAAATGTTAACCCAAATGTCCTAGCCAAATTTATACTAAGGCTTTTACTTTTTGCCTCCTTATATATACCTTGCAGTTTCCAGTTGGCCACATTATACTTTTTCATAGCTGAAAGTATGGTGGTGTTGTGACCTGCTGAATAGCTGGTGCATTTTATCTTATGAAGGGCTGCATTTCAGTGTGGGGTGGTTGTGTAGTTAGTATGTCTGTCTGTCTGTAAAGGGATTTGGTGTGGAAAATATAACTTAAATTTGCATAGATCTTCTTTACTGTTGTCTTCTATAATGCTTAACACTCTTATCCTGTTATCATTTTATACACATTCCCTAGAGACTCTGTTACTTGAACCTAAGAGGATACAGAATATTACCATGAAATGCTATGAACCCAGTGGTATATCAGATTTAAAGTGCCCTCTTTTTTTTTTTTTTATTTCCAGGAAATTGAAGAATGAGTTGTTGGAAGTGAGACGAAAAGGTGGAAACCGCCATTGCCGACAGGACCGTGGCAGGGTCTGTGTTCGCTGTCAGAAAAACCTGGGCTTAATCTTTGACAGGGGGGACCAGTGCCAAGAATGCAAACTCACAGTTTGCAACAAGTGTCGTGTTTTGGGAATTGATGGGAACTGGAAGTGCACTGTGTGCGCCAAGATTGCGTAAGTTCTGAAGCTTTTGTAAATATGGAGTTAGAGGCCATCTGTGTTATAAATAAGTTTATGCTGTTGCTGCTTTCTCATCTTTAACACAAGGGCATAACATAGCAGGCGTAGAAGGGGAAAGGCTTATTTTAGGTGGCTTATATTTTCAGCAATATTTATTTCATCATCTTCTCTTCAGCACCTGCTTGTTGTTTTTGTTGTTGCTGGGGTTTTTTGTTTATTTGTGTTTTGGCTTTTTTAAAGAATGCTCCTAGCATCACAGATGCTAAACCACAGGTGTGAATGAGCTGAAAATAAGAGAAGATTATTGTTTTATAATACATCTGTTTTTATTATAAAGGAACAGATCTAATAATTGAATAATGGTAAAACTAAAACTATGTAAGGTCCATGGATGTCCAGTCTAATATGATCTGTTTATTTTGCAAAAGAGAAGGCCTGCAAAAATACGAGTAAAAGTACTTTCAGCAACACTTTTATCCTTGTCTCATTAGCCTCTGTTATATTAACACCTCCACATCTGTTAAAAAGGCTTTAATGTAAAACATCTCCCCATGCTTATAGAATTAGATAGAATTGTGAAATGAATGGCATTGTGCCAAATGTACAGGGCGAGTCAACCTTTGCTTTTCTGCTGTTAGAATATAGAGTATGGTATCAAATGTTGCTAAGCAATCCTCAGTGCAGTCATCATTAAACAGAATTGCCTATGAGCACTTCAGAGTTACAGCATGTCTGTATGTATTTTACAGCACCACAGAATTTCTTGCTTAATCTGCTAGACTGATATATCAGCATTATGCATAATTTTACTTTTACTATACAATTCATAAAGTACCATTTTACTCCTAGATTTTTAAATGTAGTGAACAGGTTCTTATTGCAAGCAGGTGGTATCTATTTGTATATTCTGAACTGTGCAGAAGGCACTTTGCAGACAAGTAATGCTAGGTTCCTGCCCTAAAGAGATTACCATCTAAATAGACAGTGTACTAATGAAGGATGGGAGATGGGATGCAACTAAGAACACTGTGATTGGACAGTGTAGATTTTCATACCTTTTGATACTGCCACAGTTCTAGTTTGGATTTGTTCAGTTTTATTTTCAGACATCTTATTTAATTTTTGTGCAGGGAAGGCTAGGGTTTTAGGCATTTTGAAAGAATTGCATTTGAGGAGAGGGTTATGTGATGGCAGAGGGAGAAGGTACGGAAATGAGTGGGACCATGACAGGACGGAGCAGTTAGTCATGCAGCTTGCGTGGAGTGAAAGAGGTGTGAATAGAGGGGCAAAAACTTCAACGTTATTTTTCAGCTGTGTGGTGTGGATCTGTAAAAGGTGTCTATTTCCTTCATGGTGGTTTCATTGTGCTTGTATCTTGGCGAAAGTGTTCCCTGTAAACTACATTTAATTTAGTATTCATGGAAGATTCCAAATCTGACACCCCTGAGGAATGAAATCCAGACACTCTACTCTTTCAGTGCTTGGCTCTTTGGTCATCTGATTCTTGACTTTTCTGCTGAAATCGTCACCTGTGTGCTATTAACTTCTATTTCGGATGTGTAACTTCTATTTCTGTCCGCTATGAAATGAGATCACCCAACTCCTCTCACATAGGACCTTAAGCTGCTGTTGGACAAGAAAGAGTATTCATCATTACCAGTGTAGTCCACCATTTTAATCCATGATCTGTAGGTGGATCTGTTACGCTTGAATCATCCATTTTTTCTTCAGTAAGCTTCAAAAGCATTTCTCTTCAAGTCATTGGAAAGCGTACTATGGTGCAGCAAAGTATTGTTGTTGGTGTGTTTACTGAAAATAATACCTGTGTGTTTCTATCATGGCTGGACATATGAGTGTATTGTCGAGTTTGCCTGATCTGAGTAGATATTCTAAAGTAGATGGTTGCCAAAACACATAGCCATGAAAGAAAATCTGAACATCACCTGTCTCTTTCTTTAATAAACTTCCATCTTTCACTCCTCTTGATTTCTCTAGTTTGATTTCTCAGTCCCGCCTACCCATTATGTCAGAGGTATCCATGGCATTTTCTGTGCAGTAAGAAGGCATTTTCTCATGTAGTCCATGACAGATTTTCAGCACTATTCTAATATTTACAGTGGCTTTCCATTCAAATGTCAAGAAATCCAGAGAAAGATGTGGCAAATTATGAATATGCAGCCTTTATCCCCAAATTATTTAAAAATACTTATAGTTTTAAATAAAATGATGTAACTAATTATCAGATAAATGTAGGGAATAATATTTTAGTATCAGAGTATCTGAATGAAGGAGGAAAGACTATGTCAAAAAACGCCAACAAAACTTTAGTACAGTCAAACCACCACAACAGCATCTACTTCCCCAGAGTCAGCAAAAGGCAGCTCCAGCTCCCCCAGAACACCACTTTGTTTTAATTGCCCCAGCCTCTCTCTCAAACCACACTTGCCTTCAGCCCTGCTAATGGCAGGGAGGGAGTTGGCCATTACAATACATTCACTACATTCTAGAACCCTCAAAAGAAAAATCACCTCATGAAGAACTTCATTAAACTCTGTGGGTGGAACTTTTAATATAAAAAATGAGATCCTCAAGCATTTTTAAATACAACATAAGAAATCTAGCTTTATATGCAAATTGTATTCCAAAAGAACTATATGTCACTAGAAAACAGAAAATGAACACTATTATTCATGATCAGGAACAAGAGAATTAGTTATCTTGTCATCTGGAGCGTCCCTATTTTAACTGGCAGAGATCAAGGTTGTAAAAGTGCCCAGAAGTCATGAAATGCAAAACGAAGGTTGTCCCACATTCTTAATTCTGCCGCCATGTGTAATACAATATAGTTAAGCTTGGCAGAATTCAGTATTTTGTATATATAATTCTGACGGATAATATTGGTGTTCATTTTAAAGCATTTTTTCCCAAATTTTATCTATTTGAATTTTCACAGTTGAGGGAAATTGGGGGAGGGCAATAGACCTTGAGATTCAAAAAGTTAAAGCTTTATAACCATTAAAACACAAATGGTCAACATCCCATGTCAAAATATTAGAGTTTGATTTAAGGATATTTAATTTATATAAGTTCTTAAGCAGCATTTTTCATACTTTGCCTATCTTTAATTTTTTTACTATTATTGATGGAAATGTTTTTTGCTGGTTTGTGTGTGTACAGTAAAATCAACATTTACTGGCATTTACTGATTAAAAAAATAATCCTATCAAGCCTAAATATAGTCTTTAGTCACCTGTTCATAAACTTAGGGTCTTCTATAGTTTTAATCACTGTAGTATTTAAGTACTTCCCTGGATAAATTGAATCTGTATTGTGAGGTCCCTAATGGACTTCAAAGTTTTCCCTCCTTCTTCCCTTTCTGCATAAGGACCAATTGTCATCAATAGTTTTCTCAAATGAATAGTAACTGAGAAATGTTTAACCTTGGATTGAAACTTTCCATTTTAATAGGGCTTTTTTTGGTGTATTTACTAAAATCCTGTCAATAAAACCTTGGTCAGTTTGTGTTTTAAACACACCTGTTTAACAAGGTGCCTGTGATAGGTTGGGGAAAGCCCTGTTCTGCAGTCAGAATGCCAGGAAGCTTGGTTTGAAACTTCAGGCTATAAATATTCCTAATTATATATGTATGGCCTACATCTTTTACTCCTGTGGAATGAATAAATAAGTGAGGTTAAATGCCTGGACAGCCAAGTTGCCATAGAAGTACATAGCAGAAATAAGGAGCTTTATCTGCATCTTTGAAATAAATATGCTGTCTCCAAGTAACAGGAAAAGTCATCAGTAATGTTAATTACTTTCCATAGCACACAGCGAGCCTAAAAACAGAGAATTTTCAAACAAGTTAACACAAAAATCTTCCTTGTGGTTCTTACTGTTTTTAATTTCAGTGACTCTTCAGTGACAATTTGCCTGGTTGTCTTTTTTTTTTTTTTTTTAATTAATAATTACACTTTTCTTTTCTTTCCTCAAGAGCATATTGCAAATATTTTGGGTGGAAGCAAACCCACAGAAAGGGGTGTGTATGTGTACCTGCACGTATGCGTGGGTGTATAAGATGGTGGCTTGATTGTATACTAGTTATCAACAAGAGTTTTATCAGCAGGAGCTAATCTCAGTAACTATAAACTGTAGCAAGTTACCGTAAGTAAAAGTTCTGATCAGCCCAGGCTTCATCATCCAGTTTACAGAGCCTGGGTGTGGAGCCCTGCCTCCCCTAGGTGTTCTCCTGCCTCTGGTTCCCCATCAGCCATTCTTATAGCTTTTCCCGTGAGCAGCTGTGCAATGGGAGACGAAAGGGAAGCCGGAGTTAACTACTTCGCTTTACTGGGGGCCTGGTACAGCTCTTGTTCTCTGTCAAGGCACACAGTTCTGTGAGTAACCTGCTTGTCCAATGAGACTTTTCTGAAGTAAGTTGTAGAGATGGATGAATTTCTGTCCCACTGGAGATTCCACTGTTTAGACATTTGTTTTCATCCTGAGTGAAAAGCTAAGAAATATTTTGATGTGGAAATGTTTTGTTGCAGTTCATCTAACCAAATTGAAATGCTTCGTTTTGGTTTAATGTTAAACTGAGTCTGCCTGAGCTGCCATGATGTCTTACAGGGGTTGTAGTTCGGGTGCCCCATGTCCCCCATGTCCTCATTCTCCTATATGGGCTGGACTCCCTGACTGGACTATATTTTTTTTTTACTGTTCCTGTCCTGGGCCTCCCTGACCAGGGCCATCCCACAACATTTTGGCACCTGAGGCGGGGAGCTCAAATGATGCCCCCATGCCCCCTTGCTTGGGCCAAAACTTTGAAAGGTCTCAATTCTGCCTTCTTCCTGTTCTACTCCTCTCATGATACTGCTCTGCTACCTACCCCAATAAAGGAGAACTAACAACTTAAAATGCCTTGTTCAAAAATTTTAAGTAACGCTTAACATTCAAACACCTGAACAGCAAATGTAACTTTTCTTGTCTGCATAGTAAAC